AGAGAGAGAGAGAGAGAGAGAGAGAGAGAGAGAGAGAGAGAGAGAGAGAGAGAGAGAGAGAGAGAGAGAGAGACACACACACACACACACACACACACACACACACAGCAAAACGAAGAAAACCCACACACACTGTGATGACGAGAAAGAACTTGGAAGAAGAAACACACAATGTCATAAGGAATTCGTGTATCCACATTCCCGTATCGCAACTATGGGATCAAACAGATGGATGACCTGTTCTTGGTATTGTGTGGACCACCACACACAGTTCCAGTTCCGTAAACATCGACACGGTGTAACCAAAGACCGCGTGGACCAAAGAGCGTAAGAGCAATTCAAAAGGGAAGAGCCAGTGTGGTACGCTGCCGGTGATGACGAAAGAGGTAAAAGATGAGGTAATCCGATGGCGCAACGTGCGGGCGGTGGTGTGCGTGATGATGTAATAGGGGCGCCACATGGTGATATGGCCCTCCAGCGCGCTGCGCTGCTCCTGATCGCGTCCAGTGCCGTGTTGTTCGCACCCTTCGCCCTCCCCGGCGAGATACAGGAGGACGACTGCCGTTCCACCTCTCTTTTGCTCCGCGCGCCAACCCTTCGCCTCAGTCACAGCCTCTTTTTTTTTTTTTTTTGCACACTTCCTAAACCCAGATGTCAGCGAATCCAATTGCAGCAATGGCCAGCTTTCCTCTCTCTCTTTCGTCTCTTTCTTCTCCTTTTTTTGATTTTGCGCTTCACCCATGGTTTTGGAGGAAAGTATGGGTGAGACTCACACATCCTGAGTTGAACAGCGCCCCACCCTCACTACGTGTTGCTTCCCAAGCCACGGCATCACGCCGTGCGACTGAATTGCTGACAATATCGGATGACAAATTGTCATATTCACCCAATGTCAGCCAATCAATCATCAAGCCAAAAAAAATCCTTCATTCATTTTAAGAGCATCTTGCGTCGTCCTGAAGAGCCGCAAATCACAAGCGAGAACACAGACGGAATAACATTATTATGAAACAGCCCTGACGACAGGGCACAGTCACACGCCTCAACGCCAGCGCGGGGCGTAACGGTCTCGCGGTTGGTTTAGGTCCCGAATCGAGCCAATGGTGTGTCGTAGTGGATCGTAGTGGTAGAGGGACCGGCTGTTCGAGACACGCGGGCTGTCCTGCGCATGCAGAACCCGATGGATCATCTCGGTGCGTGAGGGCAACCGCACCCGCTCCCCATCCAGCCGTGCCCGGTAAGGTCGAGCAAAAGGCTCGCTGGTCACCAAAGGCTCGGCCAGGCCCGGGGGCTGTCACATGCAACATCGATTATGAGCTTCCCAAAAGACACCTCAACGACCGATCGCCCACGGAATCACCATGACCGCCTCGACTCACCGGAACCTTACGTGCACGACGCACGTGTTTTTCTGCTTCGGGCTGGTGGGCACGGCCCAAGAAAAAAGCATATCACGAGGGAAGAGAGAAGAGACATGAATACAAAGAACAAGGGTCTTTGCCAAGCCAGGCTCGCTGCGGAAAGCAAAAGGCGGGGCCAAGCAACTGCCAAGAAGGACACATACCCGTGCATAGCCGGGGGCCTTGCCAGCCTCAATCGTAGGCTGCAAGGTCTGAACCAAGACCAGAGGCAGAACGCTGCCGCCACCTGCCTCCACCGCCCGCACTTGCCCGGAGCCTTGTCGTTTGTTGGCCACACGGGGCTCAAGGTCCATAGCCCCGACGTCTGGCAAGACAGGACCATCGTCCTGCTCGACCCCCTCCTCCACCACCGCCGGCAGTGGACTTGTTGTCCCACTGGCTTGGCGATCGGCCTCGCCGTCGGCACTGGCAGCCGCGATTGGCGGCAGTGACTCCTGTTGCGCGCCTGCTCGACGCGCCATGCTTGCCGCAGGAGGCGGCGACACGGTTGCCGACGACAATCGTGGCTTGCTCTCTGTCACAGGTAACTACGCCCGAATATACCCAAGGCCGCACCGGGTCAAAAACAGGCAAGGCGGCGTGGTGATGATGCCCATCGTAGTAGCTCCGTACCTTCAGAAACCGCGGTCGTCCGTACGAACTTTGACTGGTGGACTGTCCAAACATGGCGTAGTGTTTGCCTGCATCCCGTCCCGCAGACCCATGTGTAGCAGAATGAGTGCGTGCGGGGTTCTCGCACTCTGTATGGGCGACAGATGCAAAACGACAAGTGGGGCACGCCGCGTACCAAGAGCCGAAAACGTCGGAGTGGAGCGCGTGCGATGCAATGAGCGCCGACGCCCACGATCCTCGCCAGTGTGCAAGCGAGGTTCCATCTGCTGAACGACATCGTTTTTATGCCCTCGCTCCACGGCCGGGCGCCAACGGTGCTGGGTGCTGCCCAAGCACGTTTCATGAGCACCTCGACAAGCAAACAGCGTCAGACGCCAAGACCGTGGCTCACGAGACACTTACATGACTGCTGTTTGGGTCAAGGGCTTGGGGAGGCCAGAGGTTAGGCGCTCACTGGCTCGACTCGGGTCACCCAGCGGTTGCCTACCAAGACATTGAGGCACACACCAGGGCAAATCAGGCCCACGCGTTAAACATAGCGCACGGCTGTCAGGCCCTGCCACTATGCGGCTCAGCGATGCCTACATGAGCAGGGTTTGTGAGCCTAGATGATAGTGACCTCGATTCGAATCTAGACAGCACACGATCGATCGAGTATGGGGCACAGGTGTCGCAGTGGGGATGAGCCTTTTTGTGCGCGACACAAGCCTTTTGTAAAAGGCTTGCTGCTGCTGACGCCCACCCGGACGCGCACACGTACAGACGGGCGGGCGTGAATCGCCACTGAGGGGCTGCCATAAGGCTGCATTGTGGGGGGTTGTTAGACAGGCATAGAGAAAGCCTTCCGTTCCTCCGTGGGCAGTGATGACGGCACTGGGTGGCACGAGGTCGGCTCGATGGTGATGCATTCCCGCCTGTCATGTGTATAAAAAATAGCAACAGAAATATGGTGCGAGCTGGCCGCCAACACTTGATCGCTCAATCACCTGCTCACCGACAGACAGGGCAGCTCGCACTTGTACCGCACTATCCTCGCCGCAAACGGATGCGGCACAGGAAAGTCAAGCAGGGGCGCAGGGAGGAATGCGGGGAAGAAGCCTCGGCGTCCTCCAAACTCGGCACCTCAAGTGATCAAAAAGAGAGCCTCTCGCGCTTGCGAAGCACAACTCTCACCGGCCCATCAACTCGCCACCTCACCCGCCAGCCAACCCTCTCAAGTTGGGTTTCCGTGGTGGTGCTGTGTTGGTCTTGACTCGTGGGGGGTCCACACGAGCCAACCAAGTCACGAGATCGAGCGAGCTGAAAGGAAGAGGGGAAGACTGTGCTGCCGTCGCGCCGTGCGATCGTGTACTGGCAGAGACAGTGAGTGACACCCTTGAGGAAATATAAAGCCAAACCAGAGATACAATTGCAATCGCAAAGGGTTGGGGCTCGTCGTTAAGAACATTGACCCAACTCTGTCTGTGTGTGTGTGTGACAATTGCGCAATTGAAACTCCCATCAAGAGCCGCCTGCTTGCTTACCTATGGGCTCGGGGCCGGGCCGGGCAGGCGAGAAGACTGCGTTGGCCAACAAGCGACGCCATTGGTCAAACTCCATCAAAAAATCAATGCTCACACCAAGATTCAAACTTGAGAAAGTGAGACAGGGGTGATCAGGGAACAAGCAAGATCCGTGTGTGCATGATCGATCACATTCGACTTGAGAGAGCAGGAGCATTCGAGCGACCCTATTCATCGTAAGCTCTTTAATTGACATGTGAGTATCATGAAAGTTTTCAAAATTGAGTCGAGGAGTCAACGCTCTATTCTCCTCTTGCCCGGTCTCTGGAACGTCAACCCCGAGCACAAAGGGTTCACGATCTAGACGACTTTGAAGTGCCTATTTTTATGCTTCGAATGTTTTCAGTCCAAGATCAGGTTTTTGACGCAGCCGTTTGGGCGATTAAAGACGAACCAGCAGCGTGCTCTTATCACACTACTGTCACTCTTTCAAAGCCACAGAAGCTTCCGCTCCATTCGGGTCCATTCTCTCCGAAATCAAAAGTCTTTCGACGACGAGCACGGAAAACGAGTTGTCATCTTACGAATGATCGACCACTGAAAATTCCAGCCTTTCAAGTTCCTATGGCAAACTGGGCGCACAGCTCTGTAGCTTGAGTGCATGCTTTAATATTGTACAGAGGTAAGAAGAGGTTTGGAGAGGAACGATGTCTACCAGCCCCCGCCCCACTCCCGTCGTCGCACAAATCAAAAGAGTCATTCGGGGTTTAGCTCTATAAATAATAATACATGTAATCTCTAGATACAATGTCATGTAATAAAAAAAAAAATTAGAAAAAAACAACAAAAAAAGAACGAAAAAAGAGGCAAAATTGTTTTATTTTTTTGGATCAACTACCACCGTCTCTGCCACCGTCGAGGCGTTTGCAGGCTTGATTAAAGGGTACATCACATCACACCAGACAGGATGGTCATGTCGGCACTGATGGCGGCACGGCGTGGTGGGTCTGGGCTGGCGGGGTGCGTGCGACGTCTGAGTCGAGCGCGGTGTGGTGCTGCTGTGAGCGGGCCTGAGGGCGAGGCGAGCAACGCACCCATCAAGTTTTCCCAGACGGCTGCGGCGCGCGCCAGTATCGATGATGCCATCACGGGCAAAACGGCTGTCAACCAGTCTCGCTCCCTGGCGATTGCTGGTGTCGGTAGCATCTTCGTCATCGCCCTCTTGGTGGTCATGTTGCGCGGGGACCGCTCTGACCCCTCGCAATTCTTTCCACAAAACGCCATGACACCCGTCACCTTCTTGCCCCCGCCTGGATCCCCGGCCTCGACCGAAGCGGAACAGGTGTCTACCAACCCTGTGCACGAGTAGTGCTTGGGCCTGTGCCCCGCAAGCATCTTTCTTCACCTGCTGAAAAGACCGAGAGGCCCCGACTGGCGCCGCGCGCCCAGAGCTTCCAATCCTGCCTTCTTTTTTTTTAAAATCAATTGTGTTTCTTTTAAAATCCAGACCAACAAAAAACGAATCAACGCCTCCACGGCCTCGGTATCACTGCTAGCACGATGGGACATGAAGCTCGACGCAGCAGCCCAACGCCACAGCGCCCAATAAGCTCAGTGCTCAAGAGAGGGAGCAGAGAGCGACATCAGAAGAGAAGGACAGAGAGAGTCAAGAGTCAGAGAGAGAGACAGAGAGAGACAGAGAGAGAGAGAGAGAGAGAGCAAGAGAGAGAGAGAGATTGAATGCAAGAGAGCAAGAGAGAGTAAGAGAGAGAGAGACAGACAAAGAAGAGAGAAAAGAGAGAGAAAGCACGTGTCCAACACACACACACACACACACACACACACACACACACACACACACACACACACACACACACACACACACACACACACACACACACAGACAGACAGACAGACAAGGAATTTTGAGCATTCACTTCGCTTCTTGTTTCGCGTCGACGTGACGGGACGGGTCGCGTCAATCGACACGATGGGGCGGTGAGGCAATGTGCTGTGCGGGCATAGGTTAAAGGGTGGATTGACGGGACATGCTGGTGGCAAGGAGCGTGCGGTGCGGCGGATCCACGACGGGTGCTTGCTCATCATGTAATGTGCCCTTTCTGTAGGCAGGGACGCATGAAGAAGAGCAAGGTCAACGAGGCGTCCGCATGGGATGAGCTCAAGCCCGAAGCAGAGGCACCTCGACGTGGCGCCAATGCCGACGAGGGCGGCAAGCGGGTGCGCTCACAGACAGATGCCGCCAAGGCCAAACGACGCGAGCATCGCCGTCAGCGCCGCCTCCGTATGAAGGCTCGCGACCTGGTTCGTTTTTTTTTTTCTCTCTCTCCCCCCTGTCCCCCTTGATTTTTTCCCTTGCGTAAGCCCCCTTGCCGAGAGTCTCATCGAGTTGCCTTGCTTGCAATAGACCTGCTTTGGATGTCGTCAGCGAGGTCATACGGTAAGGTTCCTCGTGAAGCTCTCCTGTGATTTGCTGTTATCCCTTAAGCCCCCCCCTCTGAACTGAGCCAAACTCAGCCGCCAACGCTGTTTTGATTGTCATGCCTCCCAGCTCGAGACGTGCCCAGCGAGCCAGACAGGCATCTGCTTCCGCTGCGGAAGCACAGAGCACACAACCGCCAAATGCACTGTCAAGGTACCTGCAGGCCAGCGTAAGTGATCAACCCATTCTTCTCAACTCTCCTCAATATCTATCGCTGAGCTTTCAAAACCTCACGTGTTGATCATCACGGCTCTTTTTTTGTACGCCCACCATGCACAGCACAATTTCCCTACGCAACATGCTTCATCTGCAAGGGCAAGGGTCACCTCTCGCGAGAGTGCCCAGATAATCCCAAGGGCCTTTATCCAGACGGTGGTGGCTGTGGTTTCTGTGGTAGTGTCGAGCACTTTAAGCGTGACTGCCCCGATCGCAAGACACAGGCCTCTAAAGGTATGCGTCTGTCCCTATGGCCTGTCGCGCTTCACGTAGCCTGTTGGTCAGTCTCTCTTCTCACTGGTGGTTCTTTGTCTGCCGCTTGACCCTTTTATTCACAGGCAAACCCAAGCTACGCCTGCTTATGGAAGCTGGTGGAGGTAGTGTGGACGCAGACGACAGCCTGGTTTTGGACCACGGTACGGACGACGAGTCGGAGAGCGATGAAGAGTTGTCCAGCCGTGATCAACGCACGACTGGTCGCCCAGCTGCCCCTGTAAACAAACGCGCCAAAACAGTCAAGTTTTAAGCCCCCTCTCCATTCTTTTGTGTTGGAGTTGGGTTCCAGCGCGGGCCCATGTGTGGCAGCATCTGCCGATCATGCCAGCAGAGATGAATCGTCAGCATTTTTAGTGGCGCTAAGCGCCTTTCCGGGATGACGATCGGATTGTGCGCGGGCGGCTATTGCGCCGCCCGCTCAGTCCGCATGCGCTGGGCACCGCTCCCCCACCTATCGTGTATTGTTGTCGCTAATTCAGCCATCAGCACATGTTCATGTGGCATCACCATCAACATTAACACTGAAAGGTTTTTCTCCTGATTCAATAACATCATTTTCAGAATCGACCAAGTCTTTGTTTGTACGTGTAGATTGTCTCAATGGTGGCCTCAGGCCCCGTCCCTTGCCCTTGCGACTCGCAGAGTCCAGTAGAGCACAAGGAACCAGGTTAACAACCCTCCCAATCCTAACAGAATTTCTCAAACCATGCCAAAGGGCTAACGTAACTGGGTTTCCCACCGTGACGGAGACGTGGGCATGGGCGCCTCGTCCACCAACTCAGGCGCATGGGAGCGAGGCGCTAGCTGACAGGTACTGCCAATCGGGCGGAAAAGGTGGCGAGGAAGCCGGCGCCATGCAAAGCCGTGCAATGTCGCCTCGTCGCCACCTGCATCAAAATCTGGAACGTCCTCAGTTTCGTCCATGCTGCAGTTTGAGGGTGACAGGCTCTGTTCATCTTGGACCGAAGCTGTCTCAACTTCTTCACCGGGTTTGATCGCCTCAAGTGCGTCCAGGTCCAAGGCCTCGTGATCATCGCCATCCCCGCCGGCAGGATCGGTGGACACCACAACAAGCTCCAAGAGTGCACGGCGATGCGCCGAAGGCAGGCGCGAGACCCTAGCATCAACATCATACAACATTCCGCGTCAGAAGCATATCATGAGCCCTCTTTGCACCGACTTCTGACACAACGTCCAGCACGACGTACAAAATCAAGGCCTTCCACATGCGCACAAGTGCTGAGGCTGTGGGCTGACACCTGGCAGCACCAGCGGCTGCTACAAGCTCACGCACAACGCTCCGTGCAGCATCTAAAGAGCCCGCGCATACTCGTCCAGTTAGACGTGAACGTGGTAAGACAGGGCCGTCCGACTGCATGCAACTTACCAACGGCTCCTTCAAGGTCGTTGCGTCGATGTAGCAATAAAGCCCACTCTGTCAAAAGGTCGGCAACAAGAAGCTCTTGTGCCTGCGCTGCATCCTGCGTCTCGTCCATGTCAGCTACGCAAGCAAGAAAAAAACAAAAAACAAAAAAACAAAAACCAAAAAAGAACAAAACCAACAACAATGAAATCGAAAAGTAGCAAGTCACCCAGGAGTCAACGTGACTCAAAGCAAGCTGCCCAAAAAGCTCGCGTGAGTCTCGGGAGAAAAAAGACAACAAAGTGCTCTGAAAATCGCACCCGATTCGGCTTCCACAGACGCCCACTTTTTGCTGGCACACATCAACGTGACGAGAGCTCGGGCTGTGGGAAGCGGGTGCAAGGCGTCCACGACTGCAGCGACAAATCCCGCGAGAAAGCCTAAAGATTTCCGCGCAACGTGTGCCCGTGCGTGAGGCACTAGGTCGGTGATATAAGCGTGCGCGAATCTGTCACACGCGCACCTCGTTCTGGCTGTGCTTGTGCTGATACGGTCAGCGGGTGAAAGCACCAGAGCGCCAGCCTAAGTTGGACAAGAAGTGCAGTGCAGGAGATGTTCATCGTCAAGTACGGCACTGGGACAAAACAGCAACACGAACAACGACCCCGTGATGCCCGACCCAGAGCACAACAACAGGGTGGCCTTGATAACTCACGCGTCAGCGTCAGCCACGGAAGAGCGTTGCAATAGAGTTGTCAGCTCCCGAAGCTGAGGGTCCAGACAAAGTCGAAAAGATTAGAGGAACGCGATTCAAAACAGACGCCAAAACCACGGCGCAGAATGCCTTGTGCACAAGTCATCACGTTGGAGAGCGGCGCGAGACTGACTTGAAGGGGTAGGGCAGGCAGGGTGGGATCAGGGTTGGTACTGGTGGCTGACGCCCAAATAAGAGTGGCCAGTTCACCGACCCGAGCTTCAAAGTGCACGACCATCTCGGCCTGTGGCGCCCAGTATCGGTCATGCAGCCAGGTCTTGATGGTGTCGACAGCTGCCAAGACGAGGCTATGTGATGGGAGTTCACCATGGGTCGCATCATGCCGCAAGTCCACCAACCATTCTGTGACAGGTGATCCACCAAGGGTCAACAAGAGTGGTTGGCGTCCAAGGAGTCGTGAATCCGTTTGATTGGGTGTCGTTTGGTCGCCGTGCAGAAGCAGAGTGAGGCGAGTAGAACAACAGGGACAAACCTGGAATGCCCAGCTCACGGGCCAGGCGGTTGACGGAGTGAGCCATGACGGCTTGCTGGCGCTGGTCGACCAGGCCGTTGACAAATCTGGAAAGTTGTGCATGATCCAAACCAAACCAAGACCCGCGTGAGACCGTGAGCGGTCGCCCGCCGGAATTTCGTGTCAAATCTTAGCTCGCTTGAGATACCGGATGATGACGGTGGCGGCAGCCAGCGTCTCAACATGGCGGCTGGGAAAATCAGCCACTTCCATCTCCAATACATCACGCGTCGACTGCGGGATGGACGGCCAGAACCCGGTTTGTTGTTCAGAATTGGACATCGGCATGGGTTTTGAGGTGAAGTGATTTGATAGTGCACACACCTGGATGGCGAGGGGCAACCGCCCTTTACAGCCCCAGGCCTTGAATAGGTCGATGGCTTTCAACTTGCCCTCTTGATGGCTCGAGTACGCCCAGGCATAGGCCTGCAACGTGTTGACATGCTGGCCGTCAGCTTCTTGCTCTCTCACACACGCACACACACACTCATACACACGTGGTCATGGTCACGCAGCTGGCCATAGCTCTCGCTGGTCATTTTGACCCACCCACCTGGCACCACTCATCGTGATCAAGCCACGGTACTATCTTCATAGCCCGCGCCATCCTCAACTTGTCACCGCAGGCTCCACTTTGCCGAGCTCTGCGAGCCCCACCTGCTCACCACCCGCCTCGACCACACACACACACTCGAGCACCGAGGCCTCTGAGAATAATGTGAAAGTGAAGATGTAATAAGTATTTAACTTTATAGCACGGCTTTGACTCTCTCTCTCTCTCTCTCTCTCTCTCTCTCTCTCTCTCTCTCTCTCTCTCTCTCTCTCTCTCTCTCTCTCTCTCATTTTTCTTTCGCGCATTGATTTTGAGAGAGGGCGTGACACTTGGGGTTTGCGATTCGAGGCTTCGTCGTTGGTCGGTGAATCACTACTGAGCGTGGGAAACACTTTGGGCGCAAGCAGTCTTGGCTTGTAGGGAGGAGTGAGGGATCGTGTGTGTGTGTGTGTGTGGGGGGGGGCTACGCTTGGCTCCTGCTGGTTCGAAAAATGAAAAGGGTGGTGTTTGTGGCACTCGAGTATGCCGAGACCTTGTCCGGCAATGGTGTATTGGCTCGTAGTCAAGTGGCAGCCCTCCTCGCACACGGCCTACAAGTACGGGGAGCTTCATCTCAATCACGTCTTGTCAAATTTCTTTTTCGGAAAAGCTGGAGGGGCCCGGACGTATTTCACTTTTATGCTCAATAGTTTGATGGACTGGCATGTCAACAGGTCACGGTGATCACAACGCATAGTACCATCGACACTCATTGCGAAGTTTCTGGAGATGATATCAACCTGCGAGTGCATTCATCCTTGGTGCCCAGGTATGAACATGCTGTGATAGCCTCCTTGCTCCCTACGTCGCTCATTCAGTGGCATTGCACCGCCTAGCTATGCCAAGCACCTTCAGTTTGAGGGCTGCTGGCAGACCTGGCTCCAAGATCTGAAGCGCTCCTCGAGCACTCTCATGGCCAGCTGGGAAGAGGCCGACGTTGTCTGTGCCGTCGATTGGACTGGACTGGCTGCAGTGCAAACGCTGGCCTCCATGTATGGCGCCAAGCGCTCACCACCACTCGTCTTTTTGTGCTACCGTGTTTTTTCTGCTTCTGTGAACATCACGACCAATCCCGACGCGGCCGCGACGTACCGGATGTACGAAGCCAGTGCCTGGTCAAATGCGCAGGCTTTGGTAGTGCTGTCGCAAGCAGATCAACGAAACCTCGAACAACTACAATCCAGCGACGACCCCCGCCCGCCATCAGCCTGCTTCCTGCTCTATCCTCCGCTGCGAGCCGACATGGTCCAGATGGCTTCACAGGCACAATTATTGCCACCAGCCAGGGGGCCTCGTTACCTGACTTGCTGTGTCCGCCTCTCTCCTGAAAAAAGCCCTGATACTTTCCTCGATATTCTCTCACACTTGCGGACCAGCCTGTGCTCTCTGAACATCGTCCCCTTGCTGTGCGGTACGGGCACAGATCCAGCCTATGTCTCGGCGTTGCATCACCGTGCCCAGGCTGTCTGCCCAGAGACGATGATCAGATCTGGTTTCATGGGACCCTCGGAGATGGCCGAGGTCTGGCAACAAACAATACTCAATGTTCATCCCTCGCAGCGCGACGCATTTGGCATGACAATTGCAGAGGCGGCGGCCTTTGGGGTGCCGACCGCTGGCAGTGATGGCGGTGATGTGGGCGCGCTCGACTTTTTGGCGCAGGGTGCTTTTCTACCCATCAAACTTTCGGCCCCTGCAAAAGCCGCCGCAGCCATCCGCGATTTGCTGCACGACCCAACCCGTCTGAGTCAGGTAAGAGGAGGCCAGGCTTGGAAGCTTTCAGGGTGTGGCAGACTTGTTGACACGTTTGATGTTGTGCTGGCTGGCTGGCTCTTGCGCAGCTTCAACGTGCCGCACAGGCTCGTGCCTTGGCCTGGACCGCAACAGCCCACGGAGCTGAGCTCTTGACCATTCTGCAGCAGGCTGCGACCGCTTCCGCAGCGCTAGATTGAAGGATTTACGGCGCGTGTGCTACAATTATTCCTTCCGTGATTTTAAATAGGGGTGAAGCTTGGGGGATTGGCTATCAAGTTGCTCTGATTAATTCAGGTGTAGAGCCCAGGCTCTGGGTTTGCTTTATGACGCGCAGCGTCCGCTCTGGCTAAAGTCCATTGATTCGCAGCCTGTGCTTCCTTGTTGGGGTTGCTCTTGGGAGAATCTGTCGAGATTCTGGCTGGAGGTTCCAAGTTTGTGTCAAGAGGCCCGCTCCGCACTGGTGGCTGCAGATGAAAGGGTCTGACTTTGCACCAGAGCCTCCATCAGCCGTTGAGCCCAGACAGGAAGCACGTCACGTGCTGCAACACGAGGGGGCAGGAGCTGATCCCAGATGCCCCAGGTGTCGTGGTGGAAGGCAAACGTGCTCATCAGGAGTAGCTGCAGGGCCGTGTAGACGGCCACACAGGCTTGTGTATGAACATGCAACGTATGAAACTCGGGGCATATGGTGCAGGCATCATTTAGAATGGCTGCGGTCAGCGCGACAAGCTGGTGTTGTCGGTCGGCAAGGTTGGCCTCGGCAAAGGTGCGGGCCATGGCTTGGATATTAAGCAAGCGCTCGTCAAGGTTGACGGAAGACTCTCCAGGTGGTTTATGGCGTGCTTCGACGGGCATGGATGTTGGTAGCGGCGGCTGTTGAAGCAGTTCCTCCTGCGCCAATGCGCTAGCCACGTAAACGGCATACTAGCAAGACCAGTGCGAGTGCTGGAGTGAGGTGCACGTCTGCGCATAGCCTTCTGAGCAAGAATGCAAGTGCATGATCACATCTACCTTGTGTGGAGGCTCAAAGGCGACGTGAAACTCAAGGCACCGCACGACGATCAGCTCAGTGTTGATCACTGACTCGCGTAGGCATTCGTACAGCTGATTTACTTCGAGTACACCGCGGCCTGGGTGCAGTACCCTAGGCGTGTGGCGAAAATGGCGTGGCGCACAGCCGTAATGAGCTTCAAAAAGAGGCTGAGGCGGGGTGGGTGGCGCAGCTCACCGAAAGGCAACCGTGATAACGTCTCGCAGCTGTCGCGTCGTCTCCTGTGCCTTGCAGCTGAGATAGACGCAGGCCACAGCCAACAGCTGACCAACCACGAGGTCAATTGTATGTTCAAGCAAAAGGAACGCGCACACTAGCACAGGCACTTTGGTCTTACCCCGCGATCCAATTGCTCGAGTGCACGATGGCGAAGGGAGCGCCAGCAAAGGTGCTGCGCCGCACAGATACTGGTCTGTGGCAATTCCAACCGCAAGCCTGCAAATAAGAAGACGATTGGGAGAAAAGTTGAGGGGCCGATATTGACCAGGTGCACCGCCTCTGACTTCAGTGGCCGGCCAGGCCCAGCTGTGTTGTGTGCGAGTCCATCGGTGCCGGTCTCGGCCAGCCGCTCGTACGCACCCATGTGTCGAATGTTGGTCAACCACTCGATAGCCTCGGCATCCTCCAACGTTGAATCCTGCGGTACAGCGGCGATGGACCGAGAGTCCCCCCTCATTGATCCCCGTCCACTTTCAAGCGGCTGTGTCTGTGCCTCCCCAGGCGCTGCCACTGCCACACCCTCCCGCGCTGCCATCCTGCTGCGCAGATGAGAAAAAAAGATAAATGTCAGACAATTTGTCAGATAAAATGATGAAAAAAGAGAGAGAGAGAGAGAGAGAGAGAACACACACACACACACACACACACACACACACACACACACACACACACACACACACACACACACACACACACACACACACACACACACACACACACACACACACACACACACACACACGTGGAGTTGAAAGCGAAACACGCATGGCGACGTTGGCGATGAGAATTTATTTATTTTTTTTTTTTTCGCGGGGGACTCGAGCGCCGCGACGCACCCAGGCATTAGGGAGGAGTGGTGCTTGTTCGTTGTCGGTTGGATGCTATATAGGATTGACTGGATTGAATAGGTCAAGAGGCAACGAAGCGGGCTGTTCGGCCGCCTGACAGCAGGTCATGGCGGCCGTGGTGCTGCCCAATGTCCCGGCCCGGCTGGCTCGGTTGCACGAGCTCGGCGGGCCGACATGGTCCGAGGTCATTGGAGAGCACTTGGTATGCAGCAATCTTGTCAAAAGTCTGCCCAAACACGAGACTTTTTCTTAACGGGTGTGGGCACAGTCGGATGGCTCTTTGACTCACACACATCCATGCATGGATGCACCATAGACCGACAGCACAGCTCAGCAGCTACTGGACTGGCTGGCGTGTCAGCTGTTGGTACCATCATATACGGACGCTGTCGCCAACACATTTCGCCCTGTACTGCTGGACCTTTTAATGCGGTGCGCTCTTTGCCCTGTGGGCCAGAGACAGCCTTGCTCTGCCATGCCCAGTTGACAAGCCCTGCGCCGCCAAGCATCGTTCACGTTGCCTCGACAGCAGTACTTTTCCTTTGGACAGGCTTTTCTCTCATATTCTTCCCCTTTTGCCGGTTCATCCTGTTGTTGCCCATTAGCGCGGTCCATAAGGTTGGAATGGCCAGTGTCGACGACTTTCTTGAACAACACGAGGCTTTGTGTTTTGCCCTGGCGAGACTGCTGGTCACGACACCTGTCTTGAAGCGGTTCGTCCTTTTGCCCTTGCTCAGCCCGAGCCTCGCCTCAACCAGCAATCCTTCTCTCATGCCTCACCCCTTGCCTTTTTACTTTGCTTAACCATGTTCAATACTCCAAATTCCGTCTTGTTTAGCGTGGCCCTGCAGTATTTTCGCTCGCGCCATGTTGTTCCGTGGGAACGTCTCCAACGCGGTGCCGCAGTGCCCGAAGCCGACCTCGCGGTGCGCACGGTGCACCGCTTCATCGCTCATACCTGTTGACCATTGCACAGCCACCCTCTCATGTGCTTCCTCGCCCGTGCTCTTGACATGGTGCGCCCAATGGCCCTTCGTGTCGATCTTGCCTCCGGTCACGCGACACACAGGCCTTTGCTGAGATGTGCCTTCAGCTGACCGAGCTGCTGCCCGAGGCAGCAACCACGTGGGCAGACGCCGGGGTCTTGCAGCTCATGGAGCACGAATCAGATCGAATTCGCCGGTATGGTAGCTGGACGTCCGTCTTTTCTTTCTTTGGACCTCGCTCTGTTTGTACGCTCATGGACCCATCTTGCGTTCATGTCAGGCTCGGTGTGGAGGTGTACTCACTCCTGCGTCAGCTCACGACCGTCTCGCGGAATCAGTTGCTCAAGCGGTGAGCCGAACTCCTCATATTAAGCCTCTCTTCTCATCAAAGGGAGAAAAAAAACAACGCTTTACGCATTGCCTCACGTACAAACTTCGCTTTGGGCTTGTCAGAGTGGTGGGTCCTGACGCCGATCTGCAGGCGGCTCAGTCTCATTGGGAAACGCGATTGGAATCCCGCCGCCTCGCCCGACACATGTTGCAAGAAAATCAAGCGGTCAGTCTTCTTCAACTTTTTCGAAACTGAGTGGGGTGGGATTGGTGTCGCATGGACGGACGCTCGTCTACCTGCCAACCTGATACCAAATCTCACCGATCCATGGTGACCCGATTTTCGGCTCAATCCAATCACAAACACCCGTAGGCATCGTCCGTTCGAGATACCACTACTGGCACTTCGTCCACTGCGTTACTGGCACAGCATTTAGGGCCTGACGTCGCGCTTCTGGGTGGTGTACTTGTGCCGCACCTGTCCCATGGTACGCACGGCACAACTGGCCACGGGGCGCCGGCAGGCCTCGGGCACTCCACGGCCGAATCCAGATATTTCCCTTCACCAACTCATGACGAAACTGACATGCAGGGTCACAGCACGTCAATGAAACTCCACGGGACCAGCATTTTATTGAAACAACTTCGTTGACCACTTCTCTACGTCAACTTGGATTGGCATTGCAAATCGGCGCTCCTGTGATGCTTACCGGTGTGGCTGGCGTTGGCAAAACGGCGTTGATCGAGCACGCAGCTGCTTGCACTGGTCACCGAGGCGATAATAGCCTGCTACGCATTCAAATGGGCGACCAGACAGACCCGAAGGTCCGTCATCTTACTGTTTACTTCCAAAACCGAGCCTGGCCGGGCCAGAGCAATGCAATGACAACATGCCGTATTTACCACCCCCCTCTGTTCCGACCCTGGTTCGATAGATCCTACTCGGTTCATACGTGTGCACAGAGATTCCAGGCGAATTTCGCTATCAGGAAGGCGTTGTGACGCAAGCCGTCAAAGCTGGGCGGTATGCTTCACAGACTGCCCGCCTTTTGGGTTCTCGTGCGTATTTTCATCTGCCGTGCGATCGCTGCATCTTGTCCCTTAGCTGGCTTGTCATTGAAGACATGGATCTCGCACCTATGGAGGTGGCTTCCACTTTATTGCCTCTGATTGAGGGTCGCCGTCTTTTTATTCCCAGTCGCGGCGAGACCTTGCAGGCTGCGCCGGGGTTCCAACTCTTTGCCACCCAGCGGGGTCGGGGCCCTCGCGGTGATTGCGGCCACATCTTGTTCAATCATTTCACGGTGCTCGACGTACCAGAGCCAGATGCGACAGATTTGCATCAGATTGTCTGTCACCGCTTTCCCTCTCTCGAGGCTGTGGCCCAGCGTTTGGTCGAATGCTATCTACAGCTTGTCTCCGGCCACCGGCATACAACCACCGCGGATGGCCTGGCCGCTGTGCGGCGACATCTCAAGGGCTTCAGCCCACGCGATCTTGTTCGCTGGGCCCAGCGACTTGCCGGGTACGTGAAGAAGCAGACTTGCTCATGATATCATTCCAGAGCGAACACCACAACATGTGGCTTACCACTTTCTGGCAATGCACCCATGCATGTGTGGTTAGGCTTTCAACTGTCTCCTCCGACCGCGTGCTGCAAGAGGCACTCGACATTTTTGCGGCCAGTGTGCCAGTGCGCGAAGCTCGCACCGCAGCCATTCTGTTTTTGGCCGATGTCCTTGACGTTCCTCGGGATCGTGCTGAAAGCCTGTGCACATCGTATTCCCCGGACGTGGATCTCGTCGCCCAAGATCGTGTCATTCGCATCGGTCGCTGCCGTTTGACGTTGGCCAGCGACAAATCGCTGAGTGCGTGTCTTGACATTTATTTTGTTCACTTGTATTTGCAGCTCCTCATCCCATTTTTCGTCCTCATTCCGTTGGTGCAGGCACTGGTCATCGCCACGGGTATGCATTCACAAAGGTAGCCTTGCGCTTGCTGGAGCAACTGGCAATCTGCGTCCAACGCCAGGAGCCAGCTTTGCTCGTGGGTGAAACTGGCACTGGCAAGACAACTACCGTGCAATATTTGGCGCGCCAGCTTGGTTACAAATTGGTGGTAATCAACATGTCGCAGCAAAGTGAAAGCTCAGATTTGATTGGCCAATACAAGCCCGTGGATGTCCGGGCCATTGTCGAGCCGGCGGTGGATCAGTTTCGCGACATATTCGGCCGCACCTTCAGTCGCAAGCAGAATGCAGCGTTTTTAGCCAAGGTATCGACGCTATGGCTCGTCTTCAAATTCTGGGTGGTCACCCTCAGGTGGTCGTGGCCTGGGGCTTGCATTGTGCTCCGAGCACTCACGCTCCATGTGCATGGTGCTGATCACCGTGCCTTCTGCCAGGTCGAGCTGGCTTTTGGCAAAAGCAAATGGGGCTCTTTATTGCAAGCTTTTACGAACACCACGCAAAAAGCTCGCAAGAAGTTTGAAGGAACTGGTGCTGGTCAAAAGCAAGCCAAGACCGGCCTTGAAGCGGAGTGGGAGCGCTTTGCGCGCCAGGTGACGGCGCTTTCCCAAAAGGTGGGTTGGTCTTGTGCGTCACGGCCTTGCCTTGTTCTGCGGCCCACCTCATCACTTGGTGCTGGTCTAGGTGAAGCAAGCTGAGCAAGGGTTTGCCTTTGCCTTTGTGGAGGGTGCTCTCACGCGCGCTGTTCGCGAGGGTCATTGGGTGTTGCTTGATGAGGTCAACTTGGCCAGTCCTGAAACTTTGGAGGCTCTCAATGGTCTCTTGGAAAGCGATGTACGTCCTGTCGACCTGGGATGTCAAGATGCCGGATTCTCTCGTCCTTGCTCTTGCTTCTACCATTGTTCGACATGCTTGTATGTGTACACGTCATTTTTTTTTGAAACTCACAAATGAAATTCTTGCTGTTACCAGGGTTCCATCTCTCTCACGGAAAAGGGTGACCTCCAGCCCATTCGACGACACCCAGACTTTCGCATCTTTGGTTGCATGAACCCGGCCACGGACGTGGGCAAGCGTAACCTACCTGCTGGCACCCGTAACCGGTGAGTGTGGTGCGACGTACGCATTGTGTGCAACGTTTGCTCCTCTTGCGCCTGCAGCGCAACTCGGCACATGGGTCTGACCTGTTTTTTTTTTACTCTGGGTCACAGCTTTGTGGAACTCTATGTGGATGAGGTCTTGGATAGCGAAGATCTGCATCTCTTGGTCAAAACGTACATCGACCGTCTCTGCGGTGCACAACAAGATCGCTGGGTCCAACCCGTTGTGGACTTTTATTTGGGTGTGCAAGGGATGGCCCAGCGCCACGACCTGCGCGATGGCTCCATGCAGCGCCCTCACTTCAGCCTTCGCAGTCTCTGTCGGGCCCTGATTCATGCAGGGCGCCTGGTTAGCGTGTACGGTGTCGACCGAGCGCTCTTTGAGGGGCTTCACATGGGTTTCTTATCGCAGCTCGATGCAGCTTCGGCTGCTGCTGTGGGTAAACTTTTGGATCAACACTTGGCTGCAGTGCTTGTAGATCGCAAGCAGCTTCGCGTGTTGCCCCGTTGTCCTTCCGACGTCGTGCCCGATCGCTCAGGCCTGGGCTCGGACCACGTGGCCATTTTTGAGCATTGGCTGCGGCTTGGTCATCAAGTTGAGCCCTGCGAACCTGGAGACTATATCTTGACCCCAACCATCGAGGGAAACCTCCGCGCTGTGACGCGTGCTGTCGCGTCTGGGCTTTTCCCCGTGCTGCTTCAAGGCCCAACGAGCTGTGGCAAGACTTCCATGGTGACATACCTGGCTGCGCGTACGGGACATCGTCTTGTGCGCATCAACAACCACGAGCACACGGATATTCAAGAGTACTTGGGAAGCTACGTGGCTGATGATCGGGGCAAGCTGCATTTTAAACACGGCGCACTTGTGCAGGCCGTGCAAAACGGCTACTGGCTCGTTCTCGACGAGCTCAATCTCGCGCCCACCGATGTGCTTGAAGCCCTCAACCGTCTGCTCGACGACAACCGTGAACTTTACATCCCGGAAACACAGGAAATCATCAAAGCCCATCCCTCTTTCATGCTTTTTGCCACCCAAAACCCGCCTGGGGCGTACGGAGGGCGCAAGGCGCTGTCGCGCGCCTTTCGCAACCGCTTTGTGGAGTTGCACTTTGGCGACATCCCCAACAAGGAGCTGGAGACAATCTTGCAGCTTCGCTCGCGCATTCCAGCCTCGCTGAGCAAAAAACTGATCCGCATCATGAAAGAGTTGCAGGTTTTACGCGCCAACTCCAATTTGTTCGCTGGCAAGGACGGTTTCATTACTCTTCGTGATCTTTTCCGATGGGCAGAGCGCTACAAGCATCAACAGCAAGCCGACGTCACCATGGTCGATGGTCAGCGGTCAGGCGTCAAAGACACACCTGCCGGCGCTTCAGCCGCAGAGCCCCCTGCCAAGCGGCAACGCGGCCAAGCTCAGGCCCAACAAGTGAGTGAAGCACGGCGCCAGGTGGGCTTGCAGTTTTTTGATCACAACATGGCCTTGGCCTGTGATGGTTACATGCTTTTGGCCGAGCGTGCACGCCTGGATGCTGAGCGCGAGCAAGTGCAGCACGTCATTGAAGACGTCCTCGACGTAAAACTCGACGTTTCTGCGCTCTACACAGAAAAGGTGTTTCCACTCTTCCGGCAGATGCAGGCTGAGATGGCCCAGGCACGTGCCGATGTGCAGCATCCCCTGCATCCTCATCGCCACGTGGTGTGGACTGCTGCAATGCGACGCATGTTCTGCTTGGTGGAGCGTTGTCTTCAGGTCCAGGAGCCCGTTTTGCTTGTCGGCGAAACCGGTTCGGGCAAAACGACAGTTTGCGAAATCCTGGCTATCCTGCTTCAGCGCCCTCTGAGTGCCATCTCGTGCCATCAAAACACTGAGACCTCCGACTTTTTGGGCTCACTCCGCCCCGTTCGTCGCTCAGCTGACGACGAGGCGGAGTTGGACACGGCGACGCAGCCTGAGGTGACGGAGGAGTCGTCGTCTTCCGCTGCAGCTGCCACTGCTGAGCAAAAGGCGCCCAAACTTTTTGAATGGGTCGACGGCCCTCTGGTGTCGGCCATGAAGGAAGGTCATTTATGCCTTGTGGATGAGATTTCGCTTGCCGACGACAGCGTTCTCGAAAGATTAAACAGTGTGTTGGAGCCAACACGGCAGCTGGTCTTGGCCGAGAAAGCCGGTGCCGCCAGCATCGACAGCATTACCGCTCACGATGCTTTTGCCATGTTGGCCACTATGAATCCCGGTGGTGACTTTGGCAAAAAGGAGCTATCCCCAGCTCTTCGCAACCGCTTCACTGAACTGTGGATTCCTGCGGTCCGCGACGAGGACGACGTGCTAGCCATCTTGCGCCATTCGTTGACCGACCACCTCGACGCCAACCACAGCGAGCCGTTGGCGCTTGCAATGGTGCGCTTTACACAATGGCTGGTTCGGGACATGCAATACACCGGTGCCATTTCTTTGCGCGATTACTTGGCCTGGGCACGTTTTGTGGGGCAAACACATCGCGAGCTGACTATGTACGGCGCATTTCTACACGGTGCTTGCTTGGTCTTTGTCGATGGCATGGACGCGGCCTCCTTTGTTGAAGCAGACGTTCGCGCTACTTGCGTGGAATTTCTCATCTCCCTCTGCCCAGCGGAGGAGCGGGAAGTTCTGCAGCGCTTGACTCTGGATGGCCCGGGTGCGGCTGGCATACCAAGCAGCGCGGCAAATCCGACTCACTTTGGCGTTGCACCCTTTCACGTTGCTCGTGGTATGTGCAATGAGCCGACTCGTTGCTCTGTCGGTTAAGCTTTTGTTCTCAGTCACGGCAGCCCACTGTTCAAGTCGAGCGCTCATCCTGGATGGTTCATGTTCATGTTCTCATTCTGACTGGCTGCCTGCTTTCCGCTAATGACCTACTTGTAGGTCCCCTTCCGCCAGCCGACCCTGGGTTTTCCCTGTCGGCACCCACATCAGCCACAAACATGTTTAGGGTGCTGCGAGCCATGCAGGTGCGGCCTTGCGTTGAAAACCAATGGCAACCCATCTCACGCTTATCGTTTGTTCAGTGCAACTCGCTCAACCAAACCGTCTTTCTTTGCCATGTTTTTGGTAGCTGGGAAAGCCAATTCTGTTAGAGGGTCCTCCTGGTGTGGGTAAAACAAGCCTGGTGATTTCTCTTGCCAAAATGGCCGGGTTCCGCATTGAGCGCGTCAATTTGTCGGAGCAAACCGACGTTATGGATTTGTTCGGAACAGATCTTCCTGTTGATGGCAAGGTTTGTGGAAAGCTGCTTGGTGTTTTCTTGTTCTTTCCCATTTTCCATTTTCCAGACATCCAGCCGCCACAGACTCGAATGTCATTCGACTTTTTGTGTTTCTTCTTCTCTCTTTCTTTCTCGCTCTTTGATGCATACCCTTTTCCTATTGTTGATATTATTAGGCGGGCGAGTTTGCTTGGCGCGATGGACCGTTGCTCAAGGCGCTCAAAGGTGGCCATTGGATCGTGCTCGACGAGTTGAACCTGGCGTCTCAATCCGTGCTCGAGGGCCTCAACGCTTGCCTGGATCATCGCGGGGAGGTTTACGTACCCGAACTGAATCGCACCTTTCATTGTCCACCCGGGCAGTTTCGCGTCTTTGCGTGCCAGAATCCGCAGCGACAAGGTGGAGGTCGAAAGGGACTGCCCAAATCCTTTTTGAATCGCTTTACTCAAGTGCAGGCCGGCGATCTGACACCCGCTGATATGGAGCTGATTCTTGGACACAGCTTTCCCATCCTCGATTCGAGTCTCGTGGCTGCCATGGTGCGTTTCAACGACTTGGTACGTCGTGAACAGGCACGCACCAGCACGGCGTCAGCCAATTTGCGTGACCTATACCGCTGGGCTGAACTCGTTGTCCGCCACGGTACGACGGCCGACCCCCGCATCTTCATCAGCACCGTGTATGCGGGCAAGCTTGCTGACGCGTCCAGCCAGAAGCGTCTCATCGCGGAGGCAGATCTGGCTTCATGCTGCCCGCTTGACACTGGTGTTTTGATTCTGGCCTCAAAAGAGGCAAATGCTTCCACGCAAACGCTGGCTGCAGCGCTTGAGGCGGATCATTCTTCAGTGGTGGTCCCCTGGGAGCATTGGTCGTCAAGCCGCCTGGAGCTAACGGACGAGGCCCTGCTGATCGGCCACGCTGTGCTGCCGAGGCAGCGCTTCCCACAATTTCCAACCGGAAGCTCAGTGGCACCAGCAGTTGCCGCACATCGCCTCGCTTTATGTCCCGAATTGCTTCCCTACTTGGAGCAAATTGGTCATGCTGTGGCTGCCAACTGGATGGTCAACATCACCGGTCCAGCCGGAAGCGGCAAATCTAGCATTGTACAGTCCTTGGCCATGCTCACCAACAACCGACTATGCGTATTTGCCATGAACTCGTCGGTTGATACCATGGAACTTCTTGGTGGCTTTGAGCAATTGGATATGACTGCGAAGCGCAACGCCATCCTGGCAAGCTTGGCGCACCTGGAAGCGCTGATCATTGCCACTTGCATCGATGATCAGCCCGCGGAAGCAGAACCCAGTGCCGTTGTGGCAGCTCTCCGGGACCTATCCCACGAGTTCCGTTTTGTGGAGGCAAGCAATGGGCATGCTGCCGCCGCCCAACCCAAGGTGGGCGGTCTCCATGCCGAACGAATTACTGCGCTGGCCCAGAAGGTTGCGGTCTCCGACATTGCTTCACGCCACCCAGCCGTGGCCTCACAAAGCGAAGCTCTCACAAAGGCGGTGCAAGAGTACTGCCAGTTGTGCGCAGGCGCGCACGCTGGCGCTTTTGAGTGGCGAGACGGACCTTTGATCGAGGCTCTTCAACACGGTCATTGGCTGTTGATCGACCACGTCAACTTTTGCTCCCCCTCAGTGTTGGATCGCCTCAACAGCTTGTTGGAGCCCAATGGCGAGTTGATTGTCAGCGAGCGCGGAGTGGTTCAGGGCGAGGTGCCGCGTTTGAAACCCCATCCCAACTTTCGAATCATTTTTACCATGGACCCTAAACACGGTCCATTGTCTCCAGCCATGCGTAACCGAGGTATTGAGGTGTGCTTGCCAACATACGTTTCCCCGCGCTCACACTTGGCCATGACGCAGGCTTGGGAGCCCGAGTTGCCCGCTGAATTTGCGGCTGCTTTGAATCCGAGCGTTGGATCCACGACCGATAGTGCTTTGCTTCATCGCGCTGCTGTCAACGCGGCCTTGCATCGCACGGCTGTGCAAAACGGTCTTGATCCACTGCTTGATGCGGCAACCCATGTGGTGCAGGGCGTCGAGCAACCTGTTCATGAGCGAAATGTCTCCACCCATCATGAGTTGGCGACTGCAGAAACGCTGATGACTCCTCGCCTACACCCACACATGCATGGTCTCGAACTGCAACTGGCTTTGCGCGCCTCGTCAGGCTTGGGCCACGCCTCAAGTGCGGAGCGCGCCGAAGGCGCCGAAGGCCTGCCTTTCAACGAGGCTGAAGTAGCTTCATTTGCGCTTCGCCTGCAACAGGCTGTATTGCCCGAGTATGGACCAAAGGCCGATGCGTTGCATCCAGCCATGGAACTGGTGCATGCACCTGCTACAGTACAGCACGTCATTTGTGCCCGTGAGCAGCGCTTGGTGGCTGATCTCTTCGGTGCCACTCTGGCTCGAGTTGAAGCAGACGATGCTGCGGCCACGGCCAACTTTCTGGCAATGCACCAGCGCGTTGCCCGTGGCCTGTTGGATCGCCGCCGCGTACCGCCGTTGGGCGTGACTGTGGCGCGATGGTTCTTTGCACTGCGCGATTCACTCGTAGCGTTCTGGGCAACAGAGCCCGCGGCTTGGCCATTACTCGTGCAGCATCAGCTGGCGCATCGCGTTGCGCCAGTGCAACTGGCTCAAGATCGTGTCCTTCTTTTGGTGGAACGCGCTGCAATGGTCTCCAGCATGGAGCAGCTATCTGCTCTCTCGTCTGTCACTAGCGAGCTGGCGGGCGCCCTGGCGTCACTTGGAGACGCCCAGCGAGCGTTGGCACCCAATTGGGTTGACACGGCTGCGGCTGCCTGGGACGAGGTTCTGACGCGGCTTCCAGCTCTAGTGTGGCGACAACAAGCATGGTCCACTCGACTCTTTGCCGCACGCCCCTGCCGCAGTACTGCCGTGGCAGACCTGCAGCGTTCCCTTCGTCAGCTGTGGTTAGCTTTGGACCCAGTTCGAACCACAGCCATGCTGCAAGCCACATTTCTCATGCACCCGGCTGACGTGTACGTGGCGCACCCGTGCTTTGGCGAAACGGGCGCCTCGCTGGCTGAGCTTGCGGCCGCAGCCGCAACCCTGCAGCGGCTCGATGTGTTTGACGGGCGTGATGCGCTCGCGGGTCTTTCACCCGAATTGCGCCAAGAAGTTGAAGGCGCTGAAGAAGTTCAGGCTGCTGCACATGAGCACGGTGTCTTGCAAAGCGTCTTGGCGGATCGGCTGGCCCAGGCCATGGAGCGTGCGGGTGCTACGACGGCTGTTGATCTGTCCCTGCGTACCGCGTACGAACGGGCGCTTGCGGCCAAATTTTGGGGTATTAAAGAAGTGCTTGCTCACAACGTGTGCTCGGCCGTGCTCAACCGTTTGTTTGAGGTGTTAGCGAACACGGGCGATGGAACTCTTGCCGCATCACCCCATCAGCCCGCCACTGAAGCGTGGACACCTCTTATCGAACCCTCGCCAACTGTCGTGCAAAACCTGGCTCAGGCCATGGATGCTGCTGCACGCCTGGTTCAACGCCTGCAGCTCCCACAACTGGGGCGCATCAGTGGGCTGCTGCTCGAGTTGCAGTGGCACCTGGGCTGTGCACCTGTTACCTGGGACCGTGTCTACGGCCTCGCATGGGCCTTGTTCAACCAACTAGGTCTTCACGGCTGGGTCAGCAGTGCTGAGCCGACGATGGAAGACTTTCGCTTTTTGCGCGGGTATGATGCTGACGTTGACGGACGCGAAGATGGCGTGCCTCGCGGGCCGACAGATGTTGCAGTGCCCGTTCGAACAGGCCAGGTTTTGGGCCCGGCCAAGTTTTGCCTGCCGATTGCCTCGCTTCATCTTGAGCGAGCCACACGTTTCGAAGTGGTTCCCATCCTCTTGGCCACCGACTTTCGCAGTTCGCTCGCAACGCTTGGTGAGACCATGCTGGCCACGGCGGCTGCGACAACGACAGCGACTGCAGTTTGCAACGAGGCGACCCACCTGCGTGGCGAACCGGTGGGGTCTGGCTTGGCCTTGCTGGAACGGGCATTGGCAGCTGAATCAGCATGGACAGCCGCTTTCAATCGCTCCGAGCTATCCGTAGGCGGACTCGCAGTCAACGTCGGCCTTGGTTTGCTGGCGTTTGTTCGCCCTGTCGATGCCGTTGATCGAGCTCAGCACGTTCAAGAGCAACTAGGGATGCTAGATGCTCTGTTTCAGACTTACAGCTTGCAATTGCGCCACAATTATCTCTATAATCAGGAGCGACAGGGCGTTTCGTCGAGCCCGTTGACGGTGGTATTGGAGCAGCTGCAACGACACGTCGTTGAGGCAGCTCGTCGCTTGACCCAGCAATGGATTGCTCGTGGAAGCGCCGACTCGCTGTACCCGCGCCTGTTCAGCATGTGCCAGGAATTTCTGAGTGCCGTGGCAGTGCCCGAGGTTGTACGCGAGCTTGCGCAGCGACTGCACGACTCCAAGGGTGCTCCCGATGATCAGACGCGGTTGCAAGAAGAGACCTTCCAAATGGCCAGCTCAGCATTCTTGCTGCGGCTTCAAGAGTATGCTGCGTATGACGACGTGTGCGAGCCTCTGGTCACAGCCGTCTTGTTCATGAAAAACGGATTGCGGGCCCTTCTCACACCTCAAATTACCGTTGCCCCTGCAGCCGAGGAAGGCAAGGGCCCTCACCAAGCCCTCCCTGTCCGCCTGGCCAGCTTTCCCAGCTATGAACATGCACTTGACACGCTGCAAGCAAATGGAGGCTTGGAGCAGAGCCGAAGCGCACCCAAGGCGGAGCGCGAAGCCATCCTTACCCATGTCTTGGCTTGCCTGCGTTCTTGTGCCGGCGACGACAGCCGTGCAACCACGGTTCGCCGCCTCTTTGCTGAGTTATCCTCGCATGTTGTTGAGCTGTGGGAAACTGCTGAAGCACGCCGTGCTGCACGAGAAGCGGAGGAGCAAGCGCTGTACAAACACAAGAGTCAAGACCACGCTGGGGAAGACGATGATGCACGAGCTGAGCGCGAGCTGCGCCGGATGTTCCCCACATACTTTGACGACTTTGCTGACCTGGATGCGGACAACTTGGGCTTCGAGGCTGCACCAGAAACGTCTGGACGCGCGATGAACGACGAGACAGACGAAGCATTGGTCAGCCCTGCCCTGCTGCGTGAAGTCGTGGTCACCCATGACGTCCTTTATGGGCAAGACGTTGCAATGCATCTGCAACGGCGATTGGACATGGAAGCCTCCATGCTAAAGCAAAAGCGGGCGTCTCGAAGCAAGTCCACCCGCCGCATGCCGCAAGCATCGGCTGCAGATTCCGCCACGTCGCCAGCGGCATCTCTGGACGTGGGTCGCGTCATGGTCGATGAAAGCGTCGTGTTCGAGCGAGCTCGTGCCTGGCTTCTTGCCCGTCCGACTACAGAGTTGGTCGCGCTCGGTGCCAGCGACAACGGCCTGCTTGAGCAGAACCTGATAGTCTTGGGTAAAGCCCAGCAGCGAGCCGCTAGCTCGCCTGCGTTGGTGGGAACTCGCACACACGAATTGGTGTGGGAAAACTTTTACACTGCAGCCAACGTCGAGGAGGCTGTGCTGCTGCAGCCATGCCTTGAACGCTTGGTCCAGCGCCTGAATGAGCTTCTGGCAGAATTTTCGGATCATCCCAGCTTGACACAAATTCTGGCCGTCGTGCAACGTGTGCTCGGCTTTCCCGTTACGTCCCCTTTGCCCAAGCTGCTGACTGGCCTAGACCTGATCTTGCGCAAAGCCAATGACTGGGAGCAAGTGGCAGCACGTCACGTATCACTGCGAGAGCACTTGGATGCTGTCAGTCAATTCATTATCCGGTGGCGCAAGAAAGAGCTCGAACACTGGCCTGAGATGCTGCCTGGCCTCTGGATGGAGGTTGTAGCAGGTGTGGACAAACAGTTTCTGGTTCTTCATCGGGCTCTTTTGGGAGTCCCTAGCTGTTTGGCAGATGCGATGCGCGAAAAGACTTCGGCCATTGACATAGACCGCCTCACGCTGGCTCTGCGAGAGCATCTGCTCCAGGTACAGCAAGCCCTCAGCGCCTTTCTGCTGGAAAGCAGTCTCGGCGAGATGCTACCGCGCTTGGAGCTGCTATTGCGTTTTGGTGCGCAGTTAGCACAGCGCGGGGCCTTGGAGGAGGTTCTGGGGCCGGTGCTCCAAGTCGCAGAATTGCGACAACTTGGGGAGCAGTACGTCGCTGATTTGCGTAATGTCGTCCTCAACACGGTCAATGTTGGCAAGGGCGTGGTGTCTCAGGTAGAAAAGACCATTCATGATCTACGAAAACCGCTGGAAAAGGATTTAAAGGGCTTTGCAAAAATCATGAAGTGGAAGGACACCAACTACGCCTCATTACGCGAGGCCGCTGATAAGACGCACCGCCACGTCTTCAAGTTTATTCGACAATATCGCACTGCGCTTGAGCAGCCCGTGGCCGGGATGCTCGACAACCTGCCTGTTGCTTTGGAATTCCTGACCAATGCTACGGCTTGCGCTTCGCTCAGCTTTGAGCACGTTTGGAGCGACGCCGATGACAACGACAGAGCCACCCCAGCAGTTCCTCACGCTATTTCTTCCCCACCGGCTTGGGCACCAGCCTTTCAACAGGCCCTGGCTGCCTTGTTGCCGGCCTGGTGCCAGGAAGTCGCCGCTCTTGGCAATAAGGCACAGCGGTTTGCCCGGCGCGCGGGCGCTCAGCTGTCCGAATGGGGCACCTCTTTGTCTGGCGCCGAGCTTAGCGGTCAAGTTATTGAGCGCATTCGTCAGGTGCAAGAGTGGGATCGTGAGACTGTCAAGAAGCAGTTAGAGCAGGCTCGCGCCAAGTCAACGAGTGCGGATGGCGATGAAGCCCAGGTTCTGGACAAGAAGACAAAGGCTACCATGCGCAAACATGGTAAGGCCATCAAGGCCAAGGCATTGGCCACGCTGCTCACTCGCCTGCGAGAGCTGGGGCTTTCATCGCGTTGGCTGGCTGTCAATGCAGTGGAAGAGCTGCGCGATTACGTGGCGCCAGCTTCACTGCACGACGGGCACCTAGGCGGTTGGGCTGAGCTCGCACGGCAATTGGATGAGTTTCGCGCCCCTTGCATGCGTCGTCTCACGGCCTACCGTGCCTCGCGACGCCAGCCACACGCCGATGTAAGCGCAGACATGCAAGAAAAGCTGGCCTCGCTCATTGAACACTTGCATCATGTGGATTTACAACAGCGCGTAGTGCTCGCCCGGATGGTTGAGGAGCAAGGTGTGCTGGCAGAACACCTAGCATGGCTGTCCAGCCTTGCCGAAGCAGCAGGCGCCACCAAGGCCGCCGAAACTGAGGGTGACCAGTTCGCGGGGCGTGTATTGGTGGTTAACCCCGACGATTTTGCAGCACGTGTCGAAGCTTGCTTTGAACAGGCGTCACACCTTGCGCTTCAGCTGCTAGCGCTGTTGCACAGCTTACCTGCGGGTGATGGGACGGCACGTCCCCAACTCGAGGAGCAATTGCGAACTTTGTACACTACGTTGGCCGTCGTCCCAACACTTCCCGCGGCTCCAGCCCCCTTGGAAGAGGTTTGCGCGTTTATTGATAAGGCCCGTCTCTTGCTAGCCGAGGCCGTTGTTGCAGCCAAGACCTTGCAGCCACACTTATCGACATTACCGAATGCGCGACGAGGGCTGCAGCAGCTTTGTACCGAAGCGCAGGGGCTTGCAGATGAGGGCCAAAACATGATATTGCAAATGCAGCAAGACGCTGTTACAGCGGTCGAGGATGGTTCGCGTGATGGAGCTGCAGGTGGTCGATTGGTGCATCAACTCTTGGTCGCGGTGCAGCGCGTCGCCAAGGGGGCGCAAAAGCTCGCATCAGCTGCGCAGCCAAAGGAGGGTGAGGGCTCAGACACCTCCGAGCGTGTCGTCGAGGAGAGTGATGCTTCAACGGAGCTCTCGCTGCGGGAGCAACACCAAGCTCTGCTCTCGATGTATCGAACGCTCGACGTGGCAGACATCATCGACCAGCTGGCCACTATGCGCGCCTCTGTGGCCGCAACCGCACAACGCAGCGATTTGGCCTCCTTCAGCCGTCAGGCCCGACCCGTGGCCGAAGCGTTTGCACACTTGGTGCAACGATGCGTTGGGGCATTTGCTCAGATGCATCATGGCAATGTGAAACTACTGTATGTTCTCAGTGGTCTGGCCAATGATCTTTGCCGCCGCGGGTTCTGCGTTCCTCCAGAGCTGGAAGAAGGCGAAGATGAAGGCGAGGAGTCCCACGATGGCATGCAGCTCGATGGCACGGGTGAGTGCGAATAGTCATCTTGTTTTGTCGTTATCACGTCAGAAGAGGAGGGGAGAAGAGGTGTGAAGCGAGGGTGTTGCGTTTTATTGCCAAGATGCCAGGACGACTTTGTCTGTGGACGGCGCATGGGATTGTGGCGGGTGTTTTGATTTTTTCTCCTTTTTTTTTTTTTTTTTTTTTTTTTTTTTGTTCCCTTTGTGCACATTTTGTGAAACGCTGACTGCGTGCTGCTGACTGCTTGCTTCTACAGGTATCGGTGAAGGTGCCGGTGAGAAGGACGTCAGTGATCAGATCGAAGACGAGGAGCAGGTCCAAGGCACTCAAAATGAAGAGCCGGCTGAACCCCAGCGCGATGAGACGATAGAGGAGGAGGACGACGGTCTGGAGATGAATGACGACTTTGACGCTGAGCTGTATGAGAAGGACCGGCCTGAACAAGGTGAAGGAAGTGACGATGAAGATGAGGAAGACGCAGGTGCGGGCCAAAATATTCGTGCTCTCGTGTTTTTCCTTTGAAGGGGTTTGAATGATATTGCACATGTGCTATGCCGAGGGAGGTTGTATGGTGCCTCACAAAGAGGCGTATTGTTTCTTTTCCTGGTATTAGATCACGAAGAGCAGATGGGCAAGGTTGATGGCGAGAGTGCCGAAACGCTGGACCAGGGCATGTGGGCCAAGGAGGAGGAGAAGGAAGCTGACGGCCCAGAAGACGGCGATGAAACAGGCGGGGAGCAGACAGGCGCTACCGAGTCGTCGGCCAAGCAAGATGACGGCGCGCCCAAGGATGACCGCGATGATCCAAAGGGTCAGGACAAGAATCAAGGTTTGTTTATGCATGACGAGTCATAGGATCGCTTTTGCTCGATGCTATAGCCTGCGCCAAACACATGAAGACCTGTGCTCATATTATTGCGGGCTGCTGTCAGGTCCAGAGGAGCAAGGTCAAGCTGAGGGTGAAGAGCCTGAGATCAACGACGACTATGCTTCCGGTGATGAGAACGGCGAGGATGGCCCCGAGGGCCAGCAGCAGGAGCAGCAACAGCAACAGCAACAGCAAGACGAGGGTGGAGAACCTGAAGATCAGGACCCGGGAGCTGGTGAGGATCTGGACTTGGGCGAGGACCTTGATTTGGATGGAGACGGCACCAAAGACGAACAAGATGGCGGTATGGATGAAGACGCTGATGATGGTGAGGCTGGTAATGAAGGCGATGCACAAAAGGTTTGTCCCTCGTTTTGCGTTGCCGCCGTGGCTGGTTCTGCACGGGAAAGAACTGTCTTTTTTTTTTTTTCACCGAATGATTGCCTGCAAAATACAGGAGGAGGAAATGAACGAGCAAGCCGACGATGCAGAGCGCGAGGAACAGGAGCAGCAAGACCTGCTGACTGATGCGGCCCCTGCAGAGGACGAGGCTGGCATCGAGGCGGAGGAACAACCAGAGCCGCAACAAAACGAGGAAGATGGTCAGGGCGACGACTCGGACGACCACAAAGCCGACCCGCAAGACACAGACGCCGCGTTGGATGACATGATGCCCATGGACGTGGAGACTGAGGAAGGCCCTGGTGAAGAGGCTGCAGAAAATGGCCCCGACGACGAGCCTGAACGTGGCCAGGATGATGAGCAGGGCGCCGAGGACGAACAAGGTGACACCGACCAGCAGGATGCCGAGAATGATAGCTCCGCGGCACCAACGGCAGCTGCAACTGCGTTGGCGGATGAAGCTGTGGGTGCCCCGGACGCTCAGGCCGGAACTCAAACCGAAGATACAGGTATGGAGCAGGCCGGCGATGGCGCTGGTGGTGGACAAACTTCGGCAGATGCCCAAGCCACTTCCCAAGGGCGCGAGGGTGCGCCGCAAGACCATGCTGACAAGGCCTACGAGCGTATCCAGGAAACAAATCCTTATCGTGACCTGGGGTCAGCTCTCCAGGCCTGGAAGGACCGCATCAACGTCCAAGATGCACCCGATGATGCGGCGGGCGAGACAGCTCAAGCTGAGCCAGATGCCAAGCACGATGAGAACGCGGAAGCTTTTCAGTTTACTCGGGAAGGAGAAGACAACGATGCGCAAGCTTTGGGAGCGGCTACGGCCGAACAGCAGCAACACGTGGGCGAGGCTGACGCAGAGCTGGCACCGGATGACCTGCAGAAGGATGTGAGTAGCGACGTCACTTGTGTTGAAGGTGTCTGTAAGGTCTTTTCGTCCCTGCCTTTCATCGATCCCCGCTCAGGCCTGTGTGTGGCAACTTTGTTGTTCTGACTGCTTTGGATGAGCTCTGTTTAACTTATTCCTGTTGCCGACCCTCATATCAATACAGGTGGAAGCGCTTCCCGAAGCCATGCCCGAGCTGACGGAGCAAGCAGGGCAAGACCTCGATGACGTCGAGGTAGAGCAGGCACCTGCGAATGCGATGGATCAGGAGCACGAAGATGTAGACCTGCCAGACGACGCCATCAAGAGCCAGCTTGCTCAACCAGGAGCCGATGCAGCGGAGCCGACAGAGTTGCAAGACCCTAACCAAGAACGCGTTGAGCCGCAAATGAGCGAGCTACACGTGCGCGGCCTCCTGGATAACGATCTCCTGCATGAGGAGCCAGACGAGGCCACCGTCAACCGCATTGAACACATTCTCGATGTCCTGGAACGAAACTCTGAACGAGCCCCAGGTGCATCTGCAGAAGAAGCTCTGGCGGCCTGGCGTGAGCTTTCTGTTCTCACGCAAAACGTAGCGCAGCGATTGGCTGAGCAGCTGCGTTTGGTGCTTGAGGCAACCGTGGCCAGCAAGATGACTGGTGACTTCCGCACGGGCAAGCGCCTCAACATGCGTAAGATCATCCCCTACATTGCATCGCAATTCCGTAAGGACAAAATCTGGCTACGACGCACCAAGCCCTCAAAGCGTGACTACCAGGTATGTATACATGTTGCGGCAACACTTGAAAAACGACTCTGCCATCGGCGTGTTTCAAGCATGGGGGCAAAGATCATTTCAGCCAGCTCATGAGGACGTTTGCTCCGTTTGCTGTAGATTATGGTTGCGATCGATAACTCCAAAAGCATGCGCCTGTATCACTCGCGTACTATGGCCTTGGAGGCACTCTGTGGCTTGACCAACGCCATGAAGACGCTTGAGGCAGGCGAGTTGGGTGTGGTGGGCTTTGGTCGACGCGTTCGATCCGTGCATGACTTTGAAGCCCCCTTGTCGGACATGGCGGGTGCCCAGTGGCTCCAGCAACTTGACTTCCACGACGAGACAACCGACATGGGTGCTCTGCTCAGTGAGTGCTGCGAGCAGCTTGAGCAAGCGGCCACCCGCAAGCAGCGCACGCAGCAGAACATGGCCGTCTCGCAACTTTTGTTCATACTTTCGGACAGCGACAACATTTATCAAGGTGGCAAGGAGCAAGTGGAACGACGCCTGCAAGAACTGCGTCAGCGCGGCGTCTTTGTCGTCTTTGTCATCTTTGACTCTCCCGAAAAGGAACACAGCGTTCTTGAGCAGAAAACGGTCTCATTCACACCTCAAGGTGTCGTCACGGAAGACTACATGGATCGGTTCGCGGATAAGACATACATTCTTCTCCGGTGCGTCGCTCAGCCTGCCTTGGACATCTTGGGCTTCCAAGTCGTCGCAGACAATTCAACGGCTGCTGTCTCATTCAATGATCTGTTGTGCTTTTTAGGGATGTCAAACATCTGCCCAATTATCTCAGTGACACTCTGCGTCAATGGATTGAAATGCTGAATCGTGACGACTGAGCTGTTTGTCGGCCTCGATCTTCTTTGTGTTGCTTTTTGTGCGCACATTGACCATATCCCGTTGATGAATCCAGACAGTATACAAATGCCATTAGTTTGAACCCCCAATTCTTCTTCGAATAAATCATAAATGACCTGTATCGCTTTGATGTGAGTAAGGTGCTTGTTTCATGACTACTAAATTGAGACATGTTCGTGTTCGACTGACATTCACGATTCTCTAAATAAAGAAGAACCCAGAACACCGACCGACCACGCTAAGCGTGTGAACGCAATCAGATGATGAGATCTAATCGAATAGACACGACTCAGGCAGAAGCACGTTGCTCGATGACAGCTTCCTCCTCGCCATCGCCATCGTCATTGGCTTCAGTGGCGGCGCCTTGCGTCGTCGGGTCACTCCTAAGATAACGGACAGGCGAGAGAGTGAGAAAGAACCATCGACGGTAATGGGTAAGGATTGTTTGAGGAGACTTACCGCTCAGAATCCAGAATATACTCTGGCTCGGCCTCACCCATGACCACCTGCCCAGGTCACGTACAATGCAAGTCAGTTTGCCCGCAAGCATGAGACGCCCCAGCCGAGACTGGGCAAGCTCAGTTGATAGCAAGACACACCTTGTCATTAATGATGACACTCGCGTGCGTGCTACCGGGCGTGTCAAACATGGCATCCAATAGGACTTGCTCGAGGATGGAACGCAGTCCACGTGCACCAATGCCGCGCTCCAAGGCCTTGTCGGCAATGGCTTCCAACGCACTCGGCTCCAGTACAAGCTCAGCATTGTCCATGCGGAAAAGACCCTGTGTGCGCCCAGCAGCATTGAAGAATCGATGAGATGCGCGCCAAAGCCCAGAGCCGATCCCAAACCAACCACCAAAGTGCAATCAGGCGTGGCTGGTGGTGTGCTGGCAGATGCATGTCTCAGCTCGTTGTCTGAATTCTCCTTTTTGAATGCGTGCGCAAACTCTCCACACGAATAGCAAGCTCTCTTAAAACAAGCCAAAGCGTGCGTTTTGCACCAACCTTGTACTGCGACAGGAGCGAGTGCTTGGGCTCGGTCAGCACGTGAATCAAGTCGTTGCGATCAAGGGCCTCCAGATGCACCACGCAAGGAAAGCGGCCGACAAACTCGGGGATGAGACCAAACTAAGGAGAAAAGGGCCAGAGACAAGATCAGAAATGATGGCGCATGCACTTCATGAATCAATAAGAGTTGTAAAATAAATAACTAGCGCACGAACAGGCCGCCCTGGCCATAACGTGGTTTTGGCGGTTGCAAACAAAAAGGCTGACCTTGACCAGATCGGTTGAAATGACTGAGCGCAAGAGCTTGCCGTCGACGGGGGCTTTAGGATCCTTGAGCGTCGCGTTGAAGCCGAGAGACTAAAAAGACAGCGACAAAGGATGATCGGATGCATGAGATAGGTGAGACCTGCCCATGTCAGATACTATCTGCCTGGAAAAAAATAGGAAGCACGGCGGCGTACCCCCTTGGCTTGACGATTCGAGATGAGTTTCTCCAGTCCATTGAAGGCACCCGATCCAATGAAGAGGATGTTGCTGGTATCAATCGAGTAAGACTCTTGACCCCGCACCTTGCTGGCAGACTTGTCGGGAACCTGCACGATTGTGCCCTCGAGCAACTTGAGCAGGGCCTGCTGCACGCCCTCCCCCGAGACGTCGCGCGTCGCCACAAAGCCTCCCTTTGGAGAGCCAATCTTGTCAATCTCGTCCAAAAACACAATGCCGCGCTGGGCCTGCTCCACGTTGAAGTTGCAAGCTGCCAGGAGTTTGTACAAAACAGATTCCACGTCCTCGCCGACGTATCCGGCCTGCGTCAGCGAAGTGCAATCGGCAATGGCAATGGGCACATCCAAAATTTCTGCCAATGTGCGTGCCAAGAGCGTCTTTCCCGAGCCCGTAGGACCGCACATCAGGATATTGGACTTGTCAAAGCGTGTATCATGGGCCACCTGGTCACATGGCGGGCAGATGAGTCCATGTGGCTGTGTACTTGGTTGAGCAGGTACATCCACGTGTGCGCCAGCAGTGTGGGACCCACCTCTGAGCTCTCTTCCTTGAGGTTTGCGGACACGCGCTTGTAGTGGTTGTAGACGGCCACTGCCAGAACCTTTTTAGCATAAGACTGGCCCACCACATATTCGTTAAGAGTGTTCACGATCTGGCGCGGCTTTGGAGTGCTTTGTGTCCAAATAAGGGGTGCTTCGGGAGCTTTCTTCTTCTGTGGCTCTGCAGTAGACCGTGAATCGAAACCAGAGTGAACGCATCGACAAAGCCAGTAAATCAGCTGAGGCGACGCATCAGTCGCCCGGACCTTCAGTGTCGTCGCCACTCGGTGACTGCACGATGAAGAGGAAGCTGCATGCTTGACATTTTAGGTACACGCGCTGGCCTGGCAATATTGAAAAGGAACGTGTGGGATTGGCAAATGAAAAGTGGCGCCAAGGCTTTGCAACGCACCCGGCAAAGCTCGGCAGGTGCGGGCGCTGGGCACGAACTACGTACTGACAACCGACATGCGTAGCGTTTGCTTGGTAAAACATTTGGGACACCGATAGTCACCACCGCCACCACTGCTACCGCTGCCACCTCCGCCGCCGCCAGTCTTATCCACGTCCTTGCTGGCATCATCTGATGCATCTCCATCATGGCTCGATAATGACTTGGCCGTTGTGCGGGGAACATCAATGACCCGACGAACGGAGCGGTTACGTCCCGGGGGCTTGTCAGCGTCTGAACTTGAGTCATTGCTCTTATCACCATTGTTTCTGCCGAATCAGGTTAGACGTGCATCAGGGAATGGCATGGCGTGGCTCGTGGCAGACAAATCCAAACGGCACAATGTGAAACACTCACTTGGCTGTGGTGCTGAGTGATGCGACAAAGCGCTCATAGGAGAGAGATTCACGCTACGACACCAAGATGGACAGCCACCGTTTGCAATGACCAGATGAGGGTGTGCCGAGCAGCTGCAGATGGGAGCCGGGACTGCTCATCGGCTGAAAAGGCGGCCATATCTTCTGATACGACGACAACTCAAGCGACTCACCGTGCTATTATCGAGACCATGACTTTTGACCAAGCGTGGGGGAAGGCCATGAGATCCGATGGGTGGGCGGGCACGCGGAGTGCTGTCGTCACGATTACTGCTGGTGCTCCGAGCCCTCGAGTCGACGGTCCCATCCTGATCTGGATCAATGCGACGGGCTGGTCGCTTGGGGGATCGGAGCGCTGACTTGCGGGGCGGGTCTTGTTCGTCTTTTTTCCAGCAAGAGCCAGTGTGCAGACACTGTGCCAGTCTCGGCATGCCCGCAGCGGCCCGTGTGCGTGCCCGACCAGCTGCAAAAACGCGCTCTACAAGAACACCCAACAACGTCAAAAGAAACGCCACAGAGCGCGTACGGAGCTATGATGGGGGATTGACCTCGAGCCAATCCCTCAAACCTTGCGTGAGCAATGCGAGCGGCAGCAGCCCAACGCACCGAGCGCGAGAATGGTCGCCATGTCGACAGTCAGCAGACGTTGCCTCAACCCAAACGGGTGTTGGGTCAGCCGCGCGGCTCCAACGAAAAGCAGGAAAAGCGAAAGAACACACACCCCGCAACTGCATGCCAACATGCACGACAAGGACCATCAGAACGATGCAAGCTGGAGCGTGTTACAACACGCATGCCATGCCAAACTCTGTTGTACATGCACCATGCACAAAATAACCGCCGCCCTTGAACGGCTGCCGTTTTTGGCCGGTGCTGTCATGTTGTCAGTCTGTTTACGTGTCAACTTACCAAGTCCCCGTCACTCCAAGAAGATCCTGAACCACATCCAGCCAAAGCGGAGCTACCACGCCAGTCTCTGTGACCCAAGGCTAGATGAACGTCGTTCCAATCAGCCAGTCAATGCACGTCCCTGTCTCTGTCACTGCCACTGCCACTGCCACTGCCACTGCCGTCAGCTCCAAACAAATTGACGACAGAGAGAGAGAGAGAGAGAGAGAGAGAGAGAGAGAGAGAGAGAGAGAGAGAGAGAGAGAGAGAGAGAGAGAGACAGAGAGACAGAGAGAGAGAAATGAGAGAGAGAAATCACCAGACATGACGCTTTCGGACATACCTCTACAGATATGTTAGTTTCTTCTGCATCTTCTGATCATAGTTGTAGTTGTATGTTCATTGCATTCCTATATTTTCTGCATCTTCTAACGTTTCCTCTTCTTAAAGTGGATGATATGTCATTTTTTTCTCTTTTCCTTCTTCTTCTTCTTCTTCAACTGCATACGCTTTCGTGATCGACGTTCATCATCTTTACTTTCCTCTGCAACTTCTCACCCACATTCACCTTATATGGATGCATCATATCTATAAATGTCTGCGTAAACCTTTGCCCTAGTCGCAACATCTTGCGCGCTGACACACGTAACAAGCGTCACGAAGAGGTAAGTAAAATACCTAAAATTTATAGAAGTAAAATACTTTGCCGAAGCCATCAAACCATCTTTGATTTTTTTTTGTGCTTGCGGGGCGACCAGGAGCTGACGGCTCCCACACGCACGCCGTATTCCGTGGTTTGATTGGATCTGTGTCTTGGGAACCGGGCTGCACACACGGAGATAGCAAGCATCGTTGTCAGACGAACATATCCGACAGCCATCGTCATGGCGGCGCCTCCTCAGGCCAAACGGTTCAAGAAGAAGGCGGACCGTGAAGCGCTTGATCAAGACCATGCGGTATCATCACCCGCTTCGACGCGCCGTGCCCCGTGGATTCTGTTTCGTCCACGTCCTCGTGGTCTGGTGGTATCTGCTCAAATACATTGTGTGTGCTCGTTGTCTTGAGTAGGACGAATGGATTCGCGACGAAGCCACGGGCTACCTCTTCCATCCACACCGCCAGCTCTATCACGACGAGCAAAACAACAAGTTTTTTCGCTTTGACCTACACACCCATGAGTTCCGCGAGTACCAGCCCAAAGACAAGCCACAGCTGACTGCCCGTGTTTCCAATGCTTCGAATCAGTCCGAAGCTACGGAACCCACTACCACCCCCAAGCCGGGCTCCGTCTCCTCTCAGCCTGACTTTCCCTTTAATCCAGACCAGGATGAAACCACCATGCCTGGCGTTTCGGACACAACCGATGCGCCCCACGCCTTCAAATCACAGGCAGAACTGCTCCCCGTTCGTGCAGGCGTGGAGACTTGGTCCGGCCGCAAAAACGACAACGAAGATCGGTCTGTTGACCTTGCCGACCCCGCCCCCTTTCATCTTGCCCCTCAAGACTCAGACTCGTGCACCAGAGTACACAACGACACATTTTTCTCTTTCTTTTTTTTTTGTCATTGGCTCACCCATACTTCTCCGATGCGCATACACGCGCGCTGTGCCTCCCCTTCCCTCGACCCAATGCATCAGCTATGACGTGGCAATGTCCATGGGTGCGCTGGGCCGTCTCTTCGCTGTCTACGATGGCCACGCTGGATCCGAGTGTGCGGACTACGTCAAGAAATGTCTCCCAGGGTTGGTTTTGGCGTTTGCGCCTGCAAAGTCTAAAACCCCATGTCGTCTTTGAACGACCACTTCACATTTCCAATTGCCTCCCACAGCAATATTGTGGGCGGCTACCGCGGAGGTGTTGTGGGCTGCGAGGGCACTGATGCTGAACTTCAAGGTTTGACTCGAAAGCATGGCTTGCGGGTGAGAGAGATATCACCTTGTGCTCACCAGAGTACCACCTCATGTCCTTTTTTTCCATGCTTTGCACATCAAGAACTACAATCTCAGATGTCGGAGGCACAACAAAGCCTAGTTGAGCTGACGGCAGCTCTCGAGGCTACTCCTGATGACGAATCGCTGCAGCAAATGCAGCAGCAGCTCCTGGTTGGTACCGGCTCGGGCATCAACAACCTTGGCCTCCCAGTTCATGCGCTTCCCGTTTTCTAACTTTTTTTTTTTTTTTTTTTTTTTTTTTTTTTTTTTTTTGGCTATCCTCAACCCAACACTTTTTGAAGGAAATGATGGTAACTCTTCAGGCACAGCATGAGGCCAAGTCGGGTCTGAGCACAGACTATCAAACTGCCGTTCTCAAGGTGAGCCTCGTGTTCTGACCATCGTGCCACCATAGAGTAATTACGGCAGCCTTCGCGCATCCATTCCTAAACTGGGTATTGCAGTGTGTCAAGGACGGCTACAAATGCACGGATAAGAACTGGCTCAGCATGGCAATCAAAAAGAAGAAGCAAGGTGGCAGCACTTCTCTGACCATCATGCTAAATGGCTCAAGCACGTGGGTAGACCTGTCCATGTGCATGGCCATCATGGACGGCTTGTGTAACGACAACTGACGCTGTGCCTTTGTCATCATCTTGCCCGCTTTGACTTTTTGTCCATCAGTACCAATGCGCATCTGATCATAGCCAACCTTGGCGATTGCCGGGCTGTCATGTGTCGTGGTACCAGAGCCCATCGACTCACCCAAGACCATAAACCGGACCGACCAGGTATGCAACTCTCAGTTTTTTTTTTTTTTCCTCTCTATCTTGTTGGTTTTTTTTTTTTTTTTTCTTGTGTGTTTTTTTCCCTCTTTTTCCCTCTTTTACCCACCATCTCACCGAGGCAGTATGAATTGCCCATAGACGAGAAAAAGAGAATCCAACAAGCCGGAGGTCACGTTGTCAACGTACGCGCCGCTTGCTGAATCAACTTGCGCTCTTCGCTGGTGTGAATTCACTCAACCTGGTCATCAACTGCTCGATAGGTCATGGGTGTCTCCCGTGTGATGGGAGCTCGAGAGGATCGAGAGCCACGGCAAGCCTTGATGTTAGCTGTTTCCAGAAGCTTTGGCGATTATGCCCTCAAGGTTCAACCCTCGCACCCATCAAGACTCGTGTTGTTGCAAATCAAAGCCCGCCTCACTTGGTCCGTGCCTCACACCTCTCTAGACACCCAAATTACTGGTGAGCCATGTTCCTGAGGTCAGCATCGAGCGCATCGAGGATAAGGATTATTTCTTCGTGATTGCTTGCGATGGTATCTGGGATGGTGAGTGACGGCCACTGCCACCCGGTGTGCGTGGGCAAGGTCAAGGCTCCCCATTTGACTCGGGGCTCGCGGTGCTGACGGCTGTGTGCTGCATCCCCCTTAGTCTTGTCTGACCAAGAGGTAGTTGACCTGGCCCGCAAGCATTATGGCCAGGCTCAGGATGGTATGATGACCTTGCCATCCTATGCATTGGCGCAGGAGGGCAGTGGGGTGGGGTTGTGCTTGTTTCAAGGACTGGGTTTTTCAAAATGCTTAAAGGATCAACCTGTCTTCTGTCTCTTTGTCCCTTGCGTTGCAGCTGCCCGTGCTATTGTCCGGAAGGCCTACGAGGCTGGATCGGGCGACAATTTGACGGCCCTGGTGGTGGAGTTTGCGTGGCATGGTTTGTGTTTCCGCCCCGATTCTACCGATGCCAATCTACTAGACGCTTTTGCGTCAGTGTGGTGGCCATATCGGCCACATCTCACATCTCACGTTTATGTTTTAATGGGCCGCAATAGATGGTGAGGCGGTTTTGGGCGGCGGTGGCGATACAGAGGGCGGCGCGTCAGACACCGACGCCACCGCACCCGTGGACGAGGAGAACAAGGGAGAGGATGATATGGACATGTTTGCATAGTCAAGTAGACATGTACTAAGAATTGAAGCCACCTGAACGTGGCGCCATCCATTGCGCCTTTGCAGAATTCAAAATTGCCTTTAATTCAACACGTGAAGCATTGCAAGAGAAAAAGGGTTTATGGACTCGTCTGCTCGACCCTATCAGTCATCTCTGCAGCTCTCATTGCCTTGACCGAGTCGAGCTTTTGTTGTAAGAGCTTGACACGATGAACGACGTTCTGCACTTCGCTGTGCCTACGTCCAGAGACGATAAAAAGCGACGATACATGAGTTGGCAAACAAAACGACCAGAGAGGCCTGGCGACTTTCGACAACGTCCTACGCACGAAGTGAAAAGGGCTTGCTTGACCTCATGGGTCTCAAGCGCCAACCAATTGTCATTGCGTAGGCTGTCCCGTGTCCATGCAGTGCCGTTTGGCTTTGGCTGTTGGTCAGTGCTAGCCGTCACAGTGTGTGCGACTTGGCGCTTCATCTAAGAAGGACCAAGAAGACGAACTGAGAAAAGGCGCGATGAGCAAAGCCAAAGGACGACTTGACATACCCGGTTGCAAGCACTTGTCAGCGCGCGTAGCTGTTTTGAGAGCGCTAGAAGATCGCGGCCGTGTTGTTCCTCGGCACGACTCAGGATGGAGCTGAGCGAGTCGGCGGCTTCGATGACAAACTGTAGCCACCCATTGAACGCAGCTCATTGTCATTGTGCGCGATCTATTGCTGGCCTGCAAAACGGCTGACCCAAGAGTAGGCAGGCAAACACTTGACATCCAAAGCCGAGAAACATACCTCGGCCTTGCTTGTATTGCTTTGAATTTGATCCAAGAGTTTGGCCTTCTCTGTCATGAGTGTGTCCTGCTTTGCAAGCACGCCAGCCAGGGAAGATTCAATCTGCGCCAGGCGGCTGCGCTGATGCTCTTCGCTTGCATGATGCTGGCGTTGCCTGCACTCGCGAAAAGAACCACCCAAGGGGCAAGGTTTGAGCTGAGCATGAACCTTGGCAAAGACGAGCTGGTCGTTCATGGCGATATAATGCAAACAAACGATGACACACCTTTGTACCAGCATGTCGTGAGCCTGCGACAGGCGTGGCATGCACTTTGTACGAACTTGCCGCATAACGGTTTCGACCTGGATAGCCACAGTCAAGCTGGATGAGCCGAGTACCATGTATCTGACCGGGCTCGATCAAAGAAGTTGTAATACAAACCTTTTGGGCAACAACCAAAGCATCGTCGCTCCGGCCGACGCCCCTGCATAGCCAAAAGCAAAAAGACGTGTGATGTGCGCGGCAAAGGGTTGGGCAAGAGAGGCTCTGGCAAGGCACGTACAAGAGCTTGGTGACACCGATGGGTTTAAGCAAATCATCAAGCTGACGCATCCACGCGTCTGATCCAGGCTGAGAGTGGGGGAAAGGCAGGTCAAGACCAGTGGTGTGCTCGCAAAGCAAAAACGGCGCCATGTACCCACACAAGCAAGGCCAGACACTTCCGAGGAACGTACTTTGCTGGCCTTGTTCGCGGTTGGAAGGGCAATTGACTCGGGCCGGTAGAGAGACAAATACAGGGAAACTGTTTCCACATGTCCGGTTGAGAGATAGACGGCTGCAAAATAGTCGGCCTTGCTTGATAGGACAGTGGCCAGACCCACAATGCTGTGTTGTAGAAAGCAATGTGCCACGATTGATATCAAACAATGAAGATTAGGTTCTAAGCACCCGGCGCCATCCCCCGCAGAGTGCTGCATACGCTTAATTAGGCGTCCCGGAGGAAGGCGGGACGTACTTGGATGTCGGCGAGCTTACAACCAGCAACTCTGTTGCCAGAGCGGGCTCATATGGAGGGGTTTCAAGTTGGTCTCCCGACTGTTGGCTCATGGCTGCTTCCAGGCGGGCAGACCAACTGCTATCAAGACGAAGCACGTTGCTACCAACACTGCCAGAAGGACGCCCCAGCAGGAAACAGTACGAACGCAGAGTGGGGAGAGTAAATGAGCCAGCAGCACAATGCCAACAACGCTCAGCAGCACTAAGGGCCAGACGAAGTAATGGGAACGCAAGTGGGCCGTGACACATACATGACGCCCGCCGAATGGGGCTGGTAGGGGTTGGCAATGACGCGGGCAGGGCACGACTCGTCTGAACCCATGAATACCATCTCCAGAAGCTGCAGCTCAATTTCCGCGCGCTGCCAGGTGGGACCTGCTACTTCTGGGAGCAGCGCAATGTCTACTCGGCCTGCACTCGCCAGTGCAACCACCACGGCGCCACCCTCTGACAGCTACACTCAAATGCCGCAAAACACCCCGTAAGACTGCAGAGCAAAGGGGTGGTGGGTAAAGGAGTGCAAAGCACAGGTGCGACGAACCAGCGCGATGCTGTTGACGGCGCGATCGGCATTGAGAGCGTCCTCTGGACTGGTGAACAATCGAATCTGTGGGCTGGGCAGGGTCACTGGCTGGTAGATGCTGACTGTCAATCACGCCAGGAAAGTGAGTGGGAGGGGGGGGGGGGGGGGGGGGGG